GGGGGGGGGGGGGGGGGGGGGGGGGGCACGCAAGGTAGGAGGGAGGGAGGGTGGGTGCTAGATTTTCGACGTAGCTTGAGTAAAACGGTTGCTGAACCCCACCTGCGTGTATGTAGGCATGGGAGCGGGAGGGGGGGCGCGTCGCGTCGGGGGAGGGTGGATGGGTGATGGACCTTGAGCTTCCCTCTAGACGAGCTTCTCGAGGACTGTGCCCGCCAGGCACGCCAATCGAAACGGGGTGACCACACCCTTACCATGACCCTAAGGCCGTCGGAAGCCGAAATCAAACCATCGGACTAATGTTCGCCAAGTTGCTACGGTTTGATTTTCCACGACGTTGTTACAAGCCCGGCTAGGTCCAATGGTTTGATTTTGGCTTCCATAGGTCACGGAACGCCGCATCCTAGTCATGACACCAACAAGACAAAAAACAACAAACCAGCAGGATCCGTGCGCGTGCGGTATGGGCGCACGCACTTGTAACCCACCCCGCCATTGCTTTCGCGACCCTCACCATCCTCTCGCTGGCCCAACCGGCAACCAGCTCCTGCGCTCGCTCCGACACCATCTGCCACGACGGGTCGAGTCTCGTCTTCGTAACCTACGCAAGGTAGACAAGACGCAGGTGGCGAAAGCGGCAGCGGCGGCGGCAACAGCAGCAACAGTAGCAGTAGCAGCAAGTTTCGATTATTGCCATCGCGATTGGCCGCAGGAGATAAGACCGTCCGCACTTCGTGAACGGTGTTATGCCCACCAACCTTACGTGCTGCGAGGTGGTTTCACAAACGCCTGGTACGCAAAAGCACAGAAGCCCGATGACCATACAACAAGGCAACATCACCACGAAAAAGGTCAAGCGAACTTCCTGACCCACACAGAAACCGACCTTGCAAAGCTTGCCGATGACTTTGAGAAACTTATCGGAGGAGACCTCCCTCCTCGCGTGCGACCCGCAGGACTGCATGAGGGTATCAGTCAGGTCGAGTGCCCTCAGGACCACCTGGGTGTTGCTGGACTTGAAGCACTTGCGGATGCGCCTCATCACCTCGTACACCCTTTTAAAGATGATACAACAAAAAGCAAGCCATGAGATGAGTCGCAAGGGACCAGAACGGGACATCAGTACGGCACATAGCCCATAGGAACATTGGGAGAATATGACATTTGGGGCGGGACGTGGATAGGCTTGGGTGGTTGGTCCACGGCAATGAATGCTGATGAAAATGCACAGAAACACGATACGTTGGGGGGGCGAGGGTTGGACAACGGCGTGGTTTCAACAACGGGCATGTCTCGTAGAGTCTCCCCGATGTATTCCGAGCGCTGCCCGAATATATTGCACGAAGCGCATGAACGCAAAACAAACAGGACAGCACATGAAAGACCAAAACACAACCAGCAGCATAGCCACGACTTCACGTCGGATGATGAAAAATAAAACCACAACATCACGCTGTGGTCGTCCAACGAAGGGCACGGAGGCCACAACCATGTCGGGGGTTAAAAGAGTAAGAGTGCTTGCCAGGGAGGACACCACTGGGAGATGAAGTACGTTATCCACACCCGACTACTCCGTACCATCTGCACACGTCTTTTGTGATTGTAGTCGTCAGCATAATTTTGTTACAACAAAAAAGGAAATCATACATCAACATGAACAGACAAGACAAAACACATATATGTTGTTCGATCATCGCGACCACAAAGAGGCATCGAATGTATCGTAAAATAGTTCATCCACGTCATAAATGGGGATGCATCGCGGTAAATATGCCATAGATCAGGGACAAGGAAACGAAGCAAGGGAGGAAAAAGTGGGCACATACACCGCATGGTCGACATGACACATGGCTTGAACGTCTTCAATCTTTTCGTTTCCACACCGCTACTTGCTGCAGGGAAAACCCGAAGCTCGTACCCAGTCGGGTAAGTGCAGTCCAATCTCTTTCACATCATACAACGCTTCAGTTCCTTCCAAAACCAAAACAAAACCATTTCTACCCGAGGAAAGCAACAGAAGAAAAAATCATGAAATCATGGCGTATGTTTGTAAGGTTCGCAAAATTCTATTCTAGAACATTTCTTTTTGGCGACTCTTGTACGTAAGATCTTTCTGCGTCGAAGGACTCTCTTTGTTGCGGTTGGTATTCTCGTCTCCATTTAAAAGCCGTTCTCATTTCTGCTCGGTACCTTTGAAGATCCGTACTGGCCCCACTGGCCCTGGTACCTTCCTCTCTCCCAAGTCAACCGCTCCCAAGCAGTCGCTCGAGAAGCCTTTGATGTGGTCAATAAGACGCGTCCCGCGCCCAGCACAACCCGCAATAGGCAGCCTAAGAAAAACATCGCTATCACTGCTGTGTGAGTGCAAACACCGATTTGGGCGTGTCAAGACGGGTCATTTTCGAGGATTTGGTAGGCTGTTCGAGACCCTATTTGTATCGATATCGTATACCTCCCGCCCACCAAATACGGATTTGACCCGAGAATTATGCAGATTTGTACCATTTTTTTTTTCATACATAGTAGTCACGCAACGAAGACATCTCTTTCTTATAGAAAAGAGTCTTAATATCGATAGGAATTTTGTAGAGTTGTACCATTTTTTCTTTCTTTATGTGACCTAGCGAAGACATATGTATCTTATACAAAAGAGTCTTACGACAGAAAGCATTATGTAGATTTGTACCATTATGACCCAACGAAGACATCTCTTTTTTATAGAAAAGAGTCGAAGATAGATTAGCATTTTGTAGACTTGAACCATTTTTTCTTTCTTCATATGATCCAGCGAAGACGTATGAATCTTAAAGCAAACATTCTTAACATAGATCAGTCATGAATTCTTGATTTAGCGTCAGCGGAAACTATATACCTGTATTTCCACGATTTCCCGAGCAGCACACAGCGGTATCTCCCCTGTGGGTTAAGGCTCAACAAGACAGTTTGGTGGCCGTCTTCATGTTTCGGTGAGTTTCGCTGGGCCCTTCGAGTGAAAAACACGCCAGCTGTGTGAGCTGTTGACCTCGGGACATCACAACCGGCATGTGTCAGCCAGCTGTGGGCTGCCCTCATGAGCCAACCCCAGAAGGATCCCTTGAACAGTATGAAGTCTGTTTTTCTTTCAAGTGTAGTCTAAGCATCGCAGGAGAGGCGGAGGGAGAGGAACCCTTCAAACCCTTCTCGTGACCGCGGATTGGAGCTCACCAGGCAGAAATAAATTAATGCGGTGAGTTGTTGAGAGCGTTGATTAATAACGCCATGAACGATAAAAAAAAAAAACAGCGTACTCTTCACGAATTGAGCCGACAAGCATGTTTGGGATCTCGAAAGGTGGCGTCATAAAATTGGGCTCAGCGAGGGAGGGCATTCCGGCGCTCCATTTTCTTTTTTCTCGCAGAGCTCCTCAGGTCGATGAAATAAGCTTCAGCGGGTGGAAACGGCCCCACAACGCTGTTTTCAGGTAATATCCATCGTGACCCCGGGTCTGAAGTATTGAGTGTTGAGGATTGAGATACCGCAGCCTCATACAAGGTCATAGATTACGCCAGGAGGACCCTTCCCCCCGGTCCCGAACGCAATAGGATGCTAAATGCTACATAAGAGTATATGTATGTGTGCTGGAGTTTAGGCACCCATACCGAATACATATGCGCGTGAATTTCTCCTCCCATATCCCCCAAAAAACAGCAAAGTGGTACAGCAGCTGCGTTGTTGGGAGTACACAGAGGTACGAAGTCTTACGAATACACACACGAATCGGCTCTCTCTGGGATCAGCGTAGTGAGCTATTCTGGTTCATGCAACTATTTATTGCCGTCTTGGCGAAGTCGTGGCTGTTGTAGCAGGTATTGATACCCCATGCAGAGCACATCATATTTTACACCCTCGGTATGCATAGACTAGATGAGAAAATAGGTGCCAGACCTCGCCCCGATGACAGCTCCCCCCTTTGGCAATTTTTACCTAGCCCCACGGGAAAAAGATGGAACACGCTCCGAAACGGCCTGCGGCTTGTTAGTTGTTAGCACGTTTTGCCGCTTTCCGTGCGAACACAGAACGTTCAACACCGGTATCTGTACGTGCGAGAGAAGTGTGCGGGAGGACGGAACCACTCAAAACCGTGGAGTCATTGCCAGGCCCGCGGCTCCGCTGGTTACTGATGTACCGGTTACATATACGGCTCTACGGTTCTTATCTTAGTACACGGCGTTTGACTGCTCGACGCACATAAATGTACACAAACCATTTCAATAACAACCGGCACAGCAATCCAAAGAAACGAATGCCGCCCGGCCGCGGGGGGTATCTACTCCTACTGCTGTTGAGTCTTGCCGTCTCTAAGATTTCTATAGAAGCCCGCCGTAGTGGTTCGCTACGTTCACCACCGACGGCTACACCACTATGAAATGCATCTGGCCGGGGTAAGCCAGCAGGTGTGAGTCACGGTGCGAACCGAAACCGACCTCACACCAACCAACACACGGGGCTATTCTTGGTCGTCCGACATACAGCAAAATACGCCCCAAGCTGGAGGTGCAAGCATGCGGGTTGCACACTTGGGACGACGACCCGCACGGCAGTGCAGCGTACATACTCTGCGGCAGCAGACAGCTCCCACCTGCTCTCCGCACTTATATCTCCCTTCACACAAAACCAACGACTCTCCGCTTCTTGTATGCATATATATACGCAACCCTCACATCGTTGCGTTGGGATATCCGTTTATTGCATCAGCCAGCTGTGAAGACGTGTTCTGGCCCCGCTGCATGTCTAGGGTGCAGCTGTCCACCATCAGGAAGAGTTGCTCTTTGGGTTCCGGGCACGCGGGGGGCGAAGGGGGCGGCAGCAGCGGCATCGGCAGCAGCGGCATCGGCAGCAGGGCATTGGACGAGGGTAGCCCACGACACAGGGGCGGCAGCACGAATAGCTGCAACAACAAAGGCGTTTCCCCGTTGCTTGAGTTGGAGAAAGAAACGGAGAAGAAAGTGTGCGTGACGAAGACGACTCAAAAAGACCAAGACTATTTACTGCAACTTAGGAGTCTTACCAAGTTTCTTCAGCTCCGTGTTCGTGAGCTTGCTCGCAGGATGGCTACGCCGAAACATGGTGACGGAAGCTACGGTGCAAGGCCGGATGCCTCCTTATCCTTCCCGTAGATTGGTTGTGCCTCAAGGGGAGATATAGACACACACACGAAAGGGCGAGGCGGAACGGCAGGTCATACAGGCGGCACTGAACAGTGCTGCGCGTAGAAAAAAAAAATGGAAAACAAATGTAAAACAAGGCCTCTAACGGGAAAGTGTCCCCTCCCCTGGAAACCCCGCCAAGCAGCGGAGAGATGGAGAGATCCGCGCAGTGCTCACCGCACATCAACGTCGACAGAGAGCGAGGCAGGAACTTAGGCGTCCAATCTCCGAGAAAGGTACGCTGAGTTACTCATACACTACGAGTAGGGGTGGCTTTTTGGTTCGACAATCCAGCGTAGCAGTTGATATCCGGAGCAGGCTCAGAGTGCACCACCAGAAGAGAGCCCCCGACATCACGTATCCACATCAGACTCTTTATATCTCTGGCATGAAGATCGAGGGTTAGGGTTGTGTCCCGTACTCAGCGTATGTATGCGTCTGTTGCAAAAGGAATGGCTTCATTTGGATCAGAGACACGTAAGCATGACGAGGTCAAAACTCAAAATTGTTGTTGGGATCCCGCTCGTGGTGGCAGCACACGTAGGGACGCGTGTGACGGCGGTGGGTTAGCTTATTACACGAGGTTGGCATGATGCACACAACCCTTGATTGATTAACCTACTGAGCTCACATAATAACCTATTGCAAAAGGAATTACTTCATTTGGTACAGAGTCAAATAAGAATTACGAGGTCAAAATTCAAACTGTCGGTGGAGGGTTACTGTGGTGGTTAGCGCCCACGGGCACGCGTGTGTGTGTTTTTATTAATAGCATCGACCGCGCTAACCGGCTGACCAATTAAAAGACGTCAGTGCCAGCGGGTAAAAATCAAGGTCCCTGGAAGGGGGCCAAAATTCGAAAAATGCGCAATGCGCTTGATGCCGATGCCAATACGACTCTCTCTACATGTTCTTTCACGAAGACACACATCTCAGCTACACAAATGCCCTCGCTCGAACCTAGGAAGCCACTGATGCAAAGAGTGGAGGACAGCAAAAGGGTTATTTCAAGCCCAGCCGAAGCCAGGATATCGTGGTATGCTGCATCTCCCAATTTGATAATCGTACACTCCCAAGATCCAACAGTCATCGTGTCAGCAGCTATATGACTCAAACAAAATAGGACCACATACACGGCCATAGCTCCACACATGCCCTCGTCCGAACCTAGGAAGCCACTGATGCAAAGAGCGGAGGACAGCAAAAGGGTTATTTCAAGCCCAGCCGAAGCCAGGATATCGTGGTATGCTGCATCTCCCAATTTGATAATCGTACACTCCCAAGATCCAACAGTCATCGTGTCAGCAGCTAGATTACTCAAACAAAATAGCAACACATACACGGCCATAGCTCCACACATGCCCTCGTCGCCGGAACCTAGGAAGCCACTGATCCAAAGCGCGGAGGCCAGCAAAAGGGTTACTTCAAGCCCAGCCGAAGCCAGGATATCGTGGTATGCTGCATCTCCCAATTTGATAATCGTACACTCCCAAGATCCAACAGTCATCGTGTCAGCAGCTAGGTGACTCAAACAAAATAGCAACACATACACGGCCATAGCTCCACACATGCCCTCGTCCGAACCTAGCAAGCCACTTGGAAGTCACGAGGGAGCCAAGTCCTGCTCGCAGGTTCTCTTGGCTTTCCTTCAGGTGAACACGTCCAGTAATCCAGTATCCGCAGCCGCCTCAGTAGTACTGCTGTACTGTGTAGTAGTAGTATGAAATCCAGGTTGTACCCATTCGTTGTCCAAACAAAGATTTGTGATTCCATGAGAGAAGGAGATACCACCTCCGTCGAAGGGTCGAAGGCACTGTCTGCCAGATGTAGACTGTGAGATAGATGGAGCCACCTATGTGTTCTAAGCCTGCCCGCCCGTGAGGGTCGTGACGAGGCCGCTGTTTGTGTGTGAAGCCGCACGGGTTCATCTACATCAGGCTGGCACGACACAACTAAACCTTGATTGATTGTCATGCAGCTCGCATGCTCACCTATTGAAAAAGGGTTAAGTTCATTTGTGTAAGAGACACCCAGGCATGATGAGGTCAAACCTAAATAATATGCCGCTATAGACCCTCCGCGTTATTGGTAATCGTCCGCAGGCACGTGCACGACCTGGTGTCACAGCCCTTCGAAAGCAGGCCAAAACAAGGCATCACACAAGAAATCTGTATGTAGCATCTACCGCTGGCCGGTGTACGTAGTATGCTATTGAATTGAGATCCAACCTTCCAAGTTCAATGTTTATGTCTTGTACTTGGACCCACGTTACATGTGATTTCGGGGCGGTACCCGTTCGTGCTGGCCACATGTCCAAAAAAAACTATAAAATTGGACGCGTTCATCTGGAAACTGCCACCAACAGTTCGAGGTGGTACCGCGAAGAAGAGTACCGCTGCGTTACAAACTTGGAGACTGACCCCTAACTTATTGTCGTTTCTTTTGTGTGACGATACCCAACCTCGCTTTCAGGGTGGTTTTGTGATTTCGGGGCGGTACCCGTTCGTGATGGCCACATGTCAAAAGAAAACTACAGTATAAAAATGGACGCGTTGATCTGGAAACTGCCCCCGACAGTTCGAGGTGGTACCGCGAAGAAGAGTACCGCTGCTTAACAAACTTGAAGACTGACCTCTGACTTATGGTCGTTCCTTTTGTGTGACGATACCCATCTTCGCTTTCAGGGTGGTTTCATGCTCGTGTGCAATCACGCAGCTCCATGGCTACCCGGGACAGAGGACTGGGTTTCCCGCACCCCCCAGTGCTGCTCTCCCCGGGGCTTAGTGGTTATACACCGCCCGTGTCCCCGCGGCATCTGCCCGCTGGCCAGCAGACGGAGAACCAATCATCTCCAGCTACTACGATAGGCAACGAAGAGGGAACGCTACGTCGCGACAACGCTGGGGGGGCAGTACAGACACCTTGGGTAAGTAGAGCGAAGCGCCTGGCGCAAGATTCTGGCGCGAGGTTGAAAGGTTCGGGGCGAAGATCAGGGAAGAAGCGTCAGGCGAGGGTTAAGGCCAGACGTTCTTTGGCTCGACTACAGCCGCAGTTGCAGCAGAAGATTGCAGATATGGACAACGAAGAACAGCAGTCGGTGGTGAAGGCGGAAGCAAAGGCCCGCAAGGAACGTGAGTTCGCCGAGGCTGAGCATAAAAAAACGGCGAGGACTACCCTGGGAGTTCGTTCTCGGCGGCGAGTTCAAGATGGGAAGAGACCACGAGCAGTTGCCGGTAGTGACGCAAGCACCAGAGAGAGGAAGCCGCGCGCGAAGGCATGCGGGCACCAGGAATGTGGTTGTGTCACCAGCACGCCCGGCGAGCCATGTAAACTGTGCTCACGGGGGGAGCATTCGGCAGGAGAGAAACTGTGTGCTGCATGTCACAGGTCGGCGGACGAGAGGCTTCACGCACATTGTCAGTCGCATTTTTGCGGCTGACAATCTCTGCGCCAGTAGGACCAGTAGGACGACTCTCCCGGGAGCGTCGTGCCTGGGTATCGTCCAAAAAGCAGTCATTGCCTCTGCCGACGCGAAGACTGTTTCCAACACTTCGTTGTTCAGAGCTCCAAGACGGGGCTGAAGAGGAAATGCGACGGTTGCAAGCGAGCTTTCCCGGTAAAGGGAACGAAATGGTACGCCGACGTAGACGTCAAGGACGGGGGGGGGTCTTCCCGTGAACCTTCTTGGCGCTGCAATCCCTGCTATTTGCGGGACAGGAGCCGATGTTCCACCAACTCATCGCAAGCGCCAGCCGGTAGTGGACCCGAGTTCGTTGCTCCCACCACCTCGTCGCAAGGTCCATCTGGTAGCGTACCTGATGTTGTTCCGGTCACCTCGGCGTCGCAGGAGGCGGAGGGTAGTGAGCAATGCGTGCGGCACGTACCAACTCATCTCAAACGCCAGGCGGTAGTGGAACCGAGCCTATTACTGCCCCCAACTCCCTGCAAGAGACACCCGGCCGCATGCCCGAGGTGGCTGGCGCGTCCGCGTTGCTCCGAGCACGGCCCCCAAGCGCTTTTGAAGTCTCTGGTGAAGCGAAGGTGGTTCCTGCTGCTGTGGAAATGGTGCGTTCTAGGGTGGAGGAAGCGGTCGGGCAGGGGGAGATGGTGTATTGGAAAGACGCGGTGGAGTGGCTATCAGCTGAACGCGCGAGGGCTGGCGACAATGACATCAGTATGCCGTACACACGAACGATCGTGCGTACGGTGTTGACCAGCATCGCCGACTCTCCCGGCAGTACATCGCGGGTGGTCTGTCCAGAAAAAGGAAACCACGGGGGCGAGGACGCACGCGAGAGCCATCTCTGTCTCGTCCCGTGCAACCTTCGCGACGAGGTAGTCGTTGGGTACCTCGTCCAGGCTCGGAAGAGGAGAGACCTCGCCGCGCACGAACCCGAGAGCTCGGAGGGGCGAGGCCCGCTTCTTGACCGAGAGCTGGAGCGGGTTAAGGTGGACGTAGCGGCTGGACCCGAGAGGATGGCGGTGGTCAAGGCAGCAGGGGCGATTGTCCGGACAGACATCGAACAGCAGTCAAGCCTCAAGAACGTACCCCCCAGTAGAGCGAAACAAAACTCTGCCCAGGAGCTGGCCACAACTGTGGAATCACCTCCCGAGACGCTAGCCGCGCTGCCCCCGAACACAGTAGGTTTTTTCCAGAGGATATTATACCAGCCCTTGTGCCGCGAGGTCAGCTCCCTCGCCCCCACAGGTTGGGGGCCACAGGTTGGGGGCCGGGCTGGGTGTGGGAGGCCGGGTGGCGCGATGTGCATCGGCGTCGAGACAACGGCGACGGAGGCGTCGAGTCGAGACGGGCAGACACGAGCGTAGTCGACGGAGGCCAGGCATCATCTCTAGGTACCTCCGTCGAGGGGCGGGGGCCGGGGGCATCAGAGGGGCCGTCTGTACATCCTACCTCTGAAAAAGAAGCCGCTAAGATCGACGATGCCAACCGNATCGAACAGCAGTCAAGCCTCAAGAACGTACCCCCCAGTAGAGCGAAACAAAACTCTGCCCAGGAGCTGGCCACAACTGTGGAATCACCTCCCGAGACGCTAGCCGCGCTGCCCCCGACCACAGTGGTATTTTCCAGAGGATATTAAAACAGCCCTTGTGCCGCGAGGTCAGCTCCCTCGCCCCCACAGGCTGGGTGTGGGAGGCCGGGTGGCGCGATGTGCATCGGCGTCGAGACAACGGCGACGGAGGCGTCGAGTCGAGACGGGCAGACACGAGCGTAGTCGACGGAGGCCAGGCATCATCTCTAGGTACCTCCGTCGAGGGGCGGGGGCCGGGGGCATCAGAGGGGCCGTCTGTACATCCTACCTCTGAAAAAGAAGCCGCTAAGATCGACGATGCCAACCGTCATTTTCGTTCTGTAGGTCGGCAGCTTGTGATGATGTGCACGGGCGTAGCGAAAGCCGTTTTAGGTACTCGGTACAGGGCTTCGCATCATATCAAAGCGGCTCAGTGGGCCAAGTCGAAAGGTACCCCTCGGGTGGTGGTCGACTTCTGCGCGGCCCATGGCATGTGGGCGACGGATTCGCAAGTAAGGCATCGAGAGGATTTCAATGCGAAGGTCGTGGAGGACGGTCATATGCTTCCTAAGGATGCCACCTGTGGTGCGTTTCCGTTCGACAACTGTGACATGAAACCCGTGGTTGGAGTTAGCCAGAGGGAGCCTCATCTGTCGACGATCGCAGCTTCGGCCGTCACGGTGGGGGGGTCGGTGGGTGAACTCGAAGACACCTCGAAGTTGAAGCGGTATAGCCTCCTGACCGTGGACGACGTGATGAAGGGGCCAAATGCACAAGGGGGCGAGCGGCGGTTCAAGGCCTTCCAGTCCCGGCTCCGACGTGCCGTTTACGAGAGTGCGTCGTTAGGTTCGACACCGGACGGGCCTAGGTGGTGTGTGGAGGCTCAACTCCGAAAGGTGGGTTGGTATGGAGTAGTTCTGTAAGGCAGCCTTTCTTTTAGGATTGGAGTCACCAACTTCTGAAATCGTGTATACGTTTTGGGGATAACATAGGAAAAGCGGGACCGTAAAAGCAGAAAAAGTAGAAGCTTGCAACGCTTGATTGCTACATGGTGTTGTTGGAGGTGAGCAATCAAAACAATGGAAGGTGGTGATTGTTTAGTCGCTCAACTATGATATTGTTGGTTGCTCTTGGTCGTTCGTGGAATTGCTGATGTGGAGGCGATAGTTGAGGGGAAGCAAACGTTATTCTGTCTGGTTTAGTCCCTCCGTCCTTTCGAATTTGCTGCTCTCAAACTACGCTTCCGCAACCACGTTTTCGACACAGGATTGGACGCCTGAGGAGAGAGCTACTCTGGACGGCCGGTACGCTTTCATCCAACTAGGAAGTACAAAAACCTTCACCGACAACAACGCGGCCATCGACCGCATCCTCCGGATCTGGCGCGGTACGGACGCCGGCAAGGACGGCACGCCGTGCATAATCGCCGGGGACGAGGAGACGTATCGCGTCCTGTACCACATCCAGAAGCAGGAGCGCATCGCATATCGTCAATTTCGTCGGTACCCCGGTGATTGGCATCTCCTCTTGCACATGGCGAAGGCTCTTCTCAAGCGGTGTTGGGGGGCTGGCGTAGAGTTCGTGGCGAAGGATTTGGGCACGGACAACAGCAAGTCAAGCGAGGGGAGCAACTACCGACGGGCACACCACCACCTCGTCGTGATGTGGGAGGCACTTATGTCTTTATGTCGAGAGATGTGCCTTCCACCGGGGGAGGGCATGCTGGCGGAGGATGCCGACAGCATGGCGGTTGCGTGGATCAATAAGCGAGCGGCAGAACACAAGACTTTTGCCCTCTGGGAGCAGTTCCTCTTGCACGACTTCCCTGCCTACATGACCTTCCGGATTGCCCTGCGCACGGGAGATTTCATGCTGCGGCTTGATGCGCTTCACCGTATCGCTCCCATTTTTTACATCACCGGTAAGGACCGATATCAACTCCTGGTGGTGGATCACCTTGCGGAGATGTCAAGGATGTCGGAGTCGGATCTGAGGGTGATGGCCGAGTTATTTTCNAGGAGGAGGAGGAGGAGGAGGAGGAGGAGGAGGAGGAGAAGGGAAACGAAGCGGGCGATGAAATTCCAGAATGGGAGTCCGATGCGTCCGACTACAGCGATGACTTCAGCGACTGGAGATCAAACATGTCGGAGGGCGGGCCGGATGTAGGGTGGGGAGGTGCGGGGGGAGTCGAAGGTCCGTGGGGGGCGACGGGAGCTGACTGGTTCTAAGGGTACGAGAGCCGTATTGTGGTATGTATCTGCTCCCTTTTGTGTCTAACAACTTCTCATACACAAATTGAGGGTGAGGCACGGATTTTCTTATTTGTGGTCCGATTTCATGTCTTGAGCACGTACTACAGCGCGCATTACGCCGACCTAAATCCCAGGTGATCTTTATCCACATGAACCATCTCCCATGCTTACCGCGTGCGCTTCCCGTTGTTTGCCGTTGCTTCTTTTGCTTGTGTGTGACAAAATGGTGGCAGTGACGACGACAGGTTCCTCTGTGCGAATTAGCTTATGGTGGAGAAGGAGGAGACCTCGGAGAATTGGTTGTGGGGAGGGTGTGCTTGGGTGGGGGTGGGTGGTAAACGCACGAGCTTGATAGATAGGTGGCACCACAACCGTCAGCCCTCCTTGCTGCAATCCTTGCCTTTATCTCATTCGTGATAGTTCGGCTATGGGGTCCTGCGGTGTTGAAACCTGTGTGTGTATGTGAAGTTATTTTGTGTACTTGTCTTCTTGTGNGTGCTTGGGTGGGGGTGGGTGGTAAACGCACGAGCTTGATAGATAGGTGGCACCACAACCGTCAGCCCTCCTTGCTGCAATCCTTGCCTTTATCTCATTCGTGATAGTTCGGCTATGGGGTCCTGCGGTGTTGAAACCTGTGTGTGTATGTGAAGTTATTTTGTGTACTTGTCTTCTTGTGGTCACGAACCTGCCGTGTTGTTTCGAGGCAAAGACTGCTGTCTACCTCGACCATCTTTCCCAGCGGGTGTGATGTTCTGGGGTCAGTTTAGTATATTTGTCTTGTTTTTTTTGTCACTTTTGGCGCCGCTGACTGTTGTAGTGATTTGACTGTATTTACCATTGGGCCGACGTTAGAAGCAGTCTTGCTTGGTGAAAGTGTGGACTACTGGTCGACCCAATTCAAATCAAAGCGTTGGAAAAAATTTGGCCCCTCTTCTACGGTGGTAACGTCGTACGTGTACCTCGGCGGCAGGGAAGTTGTCGTTCCCGTATTATCCTGTTCACTCCTGTTCACACGTACGTTAAGCTCTCCGTGGACAGCCCGGGACGTCGCCCTACCACACACTTTCTACGCCACAATGGTGTGCGCCCTGCAGGCGATGAATGCTCATAAACTTCCAGACACATTTACTTCGTTATTTTCAAAAGGTATACTTCATCGGCCAGGTTTCGCTTTCCCCCGGGGACACAAAGCACTTTTTCGAGCGTGTTTTTTGTCGCTTATTCAAGCCCTTACTCCAGCCAGAACGGGGCCGACAATAAATAAGATCGCGAACAAGAGGTGAGAGAGGTCAGGGCTCTCGTATTGGCACCGCCATTTAGGCCTGTCCTCCATCGGCCGTTTTATTTTCGATTTAGATACACAAACTTTATTTCTATACTAATTTCAAGTAATTCCACCTTCTTATTCTCCGTCATACAAGCAAAACGGCCGATGGAGGACAGGCCTACCGCCATTTTTTTTTTTGTCCCGCATTTTATTCGCGGTGCAACAACACCGCACAGACAGGTGGGTTTTAGTTACAAATTTTGGTGCACGCCGAGTACGCGTACTCGGCTTGTACTGCATGAAGGAACATAATTCAAAGTGCTGTACAACCATGAAGGAGACAGCTACAAGATGCGGGGCATCCCGTTGTCAACAGTCGTGAGACACCTAAGCATGAAGCTTGCGCGTGGATGCCGTTTTTCGACCAAATCCGTCCCTCCCTCCGGCTAGGTGCAACACATAACTGCCAGGATTGGCCATCCTACTCTCCAAACAGCAGTATGCTTTCGTGCCAAGTTTCGTGCCAATTGGCAACGTATTCAGCGCGTTCTCGTGTTCGCCAGGAAAGTGGCACAAGCAAGCACCCAGCAGATGGCCGAGGAAGAAACTCGCTTGCTTCCTTCCCCTCCACTCTTCCAAGAATCCAAAGAGACCCCATTGCGGTCGTCCTGCACCGGGTGACTGCTGTGTGCATCATGCAATGCACGCTGTGTGTATGTCGCCGTCGGCTCGGTAGAGGTTCCGCCGCGTCCATGGGGGCCGGTGCGCCTTTGCATATTTTTTTTGGGCCGACTTGAGATCTATCACTGCTGAGTTCTAGCGCTGTAGTCTATGGAATTTCATCCTACTTGAGCCAATCGCTAGCTATTGGAGGCGTCTACAGCCGTAGAGCTTCACCTTGGAGGGTTGGCTCTGCTGTAGGCGTGTACAGCATGGTAGAGTGCGAATTGACGCTTACGTACGTCCAATTTTTTTTTCTACGCGCATCTCTCTGAAGAGACTCGTGGGCCGGAGGTTCTACCCCCCCCCGCTCATCCCCCCACCCACCCCCGACATTGTGGAGCATCCATCGACCCCCCCTCGTCTGCGTTTCGAAATGCAACTGCTGTGTGCCTGGTCCACCTTTACCCGCGCTTGGCACGGGGAGCTGCGGGTAATGGTAAGAGAGAGGAAGGAGTTATTTGCGGGAGTTGCTTTACACTGAAGTTGGTAGCGGTGGTGGTATCCATCCCGTCCTCTTGTCCGTCACAACATTCACAACAGTCAATTGTCAACAGCGGAGTCAGTGATTTCGGGGTGTATCAAACACCGCGCACACATGCCCCGGTCCGCCCCGGTGGTCTAGTGCGTAGCCTCGCAGTCTGCCAAGGGCCAGGTCATGGGTTCGAGTCCCGACAGAGTAAGTTTTTTTTCGCTAATTAAATCCTGGCCTCCGTTGGAAGCGATGCGCTGCAAAAAAGCTCGTTGTTAGTAAACTTGGTCGACTTCCTAAGTCACGAGGGAAGGGATTCCTGTACCCTTCTCGCGATCAAAATTTCTCAGGCAGAAACCGCCGGAGGGGGTCCAATCCCCCCCTCCTATGTGACCCCGGTTGGGTCGTCTAGCTGGTAGAAGTGGAGGATAGGGGCCAGAGGGACAGACGACAGAGTCCAATGACGGGAGGAAAAAAAAAAAAACATGCGGCCGGTTACATATCGCGGTCGGTAACACACGCGGCTGCTTGTGCTATGCATACGCCAAACACAAACACAAGGTATTTAGACTCACTCCAGAATAGATGGGAACAAACACACACACGGTGTTCGCGTGCTTCTTTACTGCTCTTGGCACGCAGCGCGCAGTCGAAGTGCATGTAATTGTGCAGGTGGCGATCCCAAGGATATGACAAAGGGTAATGTACTGTTGTTGAAAAAACAACTTAGCAAATGTAGTGCGGACGTTCCTGCAGCAGCGTATTTTTGTGAAGTGCTTAGAGGGCATCAGAGGTTCATTTCGCTGTCAGGGGTGTTGAAGATCCGCGTCTCCACGCGTCTCGAGAGCGTGCCAGGTGCCACTGCCGGTTGCTAACCTCTCTGTATTACTATTTTTGCCACCGACGTATTTGAAAATGTTCGTTCGGTCGGCGCCTGCTTGTGTCTGTGTTGCGCCCCGCTCGGCCATTTACTTCGGCGGGCATACCAATTAAGTCCGACCTTGCTGTTTGTGGGTCAGTGAACTAGCGTGCCACAGATGAGATATTAAAATTCCCATGTCTACTACTCTGATACTCGATAGATGGGGGTGGCGATAGGCAAAAGTATATATTTTCATGTCTAATCCCTCCTCTGCTTCCCCCGTAATAATTGCCGTTCGTTTTCTCCTTCAGCGGCTCGCCTACCTGACTACTGGAAACTCATTTCGCTCTCCTCCCCACACACGGTATCGATCTACTGCTGCTTACGATGATGTTCGCTCTACATAAGCGCACAGACATTGTGGAACTTCCAAATCACAGACAGGAACAGCAGTAAACGTACCTTGTTAGTGGTAGGGCCATGGATGCCATCTAATACGTCGAAGATTACGTGCTTTGTTGGCCAGTTCCATTTCGTGCTTTTTAGGCGAGCAGTTGCCGAGCTCGTAGGCAGTTCTTGACCGACTTGGGAGAGGTGTGACTGTACCACGAGAGAGAGAACTCCATAGTGGGCTTCACCTTCCTCACAGGACCCTCCATCCTTCGTTGGGATGATGGGTGTGTACACAAGAACATAATGTAAGATTCATAGATCGCCGGCCTTTCGATGATGACCCCTTCAGCTTTGCTGAGTTGCGCGTGTGGTTGTATGTCGGAGGATACCACACCTGGTGTCCACCCACACCCGCTCTTATTCTCTTGTGGAACAGCAGTGTGAGGCTGACGTAGCACAATCGGCAAGCCGCGAGAGACCTGCATGCCCAACATGGAGTAGGAGGCCAATCTTGAGAGACTCTGAACCACCAGTCAGTGTAGTGCGTACTCTAGATGTAGAAAGGTGCACGGGGACGAAAATACATCTGAATAAACTCGGTGTCGGCTGTCTCGCCTGCTGGTTGTGCCCGCTGCATGTGCCCCCCGTCGTCACCCTCCTTGCAGCCGCAAAGAGAGGAGGATGCCGGTCCTGGCGTGGACCAACTACGGCAAGAGGTAGCAACTCTCAGGAGGGACGTCGACACCATCCGCTCGACCATGCAAGATATGCACAGAGAGGTACAATTCCCAACGTTCGAATTTGACTCGTCCATCATCTTGCAGCGCGATACATAGAAAGGACGGCAACGCGTCATGTACCCCTGGGCTTTTCCGTTGGCATGGCGGCCGTCAAATCCACGGTGGTCGCTGCAAAGGCCAGTGAAAAATGTGCTGCCAACACATCAGCGGGTGGTTGCTGATGTTTGTGCGATGTGCTTAACAATGCCACGGTGTTATACACGCCCACGGTGCGGACAACACCCCCATGTGCTGAACTATCCATTTCCGTACTCCCACCGGCAAAAATAACGACCGTGACCCTACGGTACAGCTATATGCACATATGTCGCCCTACCTACGGAGTCGTAGCCGGAGGGGTACAAATATTTTGGGCAGTAGTTCGGCCCCGACCGGCGAATGCTGGATCTGGATCGCGCGGTACGACATCCACCGTATTGCGGTTTTGTATGTCACTTGCGATCAGAACAATGCGTTGTCTTCGTTTTTGATGTTGTCGCACGCGGACGAAAGCTGTCCAATGGACTCAGCTCAAGACTCAGCACCACAAAAAGGCGATCTATTCCCTCTAAGGATAGTTCTCTAACCGCACCGTTGTAGATAGTCGTACACCAACCCAGAGTTTGGTACTACCCAACCGGAGGGCAAGGAATGAATCAGACAGCACTAGACGAAAAAAAACAAACATGAACCCCTGCATCCTCTCCTTGAACTATTGATGACGCTGGCAGATGCTGCCTAGGCCGAACATCACAGCAGACGTCCGATGGGAGATGGTGCTTGAGAGAGTGTGCGTGTTGCGTCGCATGGTTACATTTTTTTCAAGGGTTTACTCGGTATCGGTTTTTGGGCGGACGGGTTTTCGGCGGTAATGCCATTTGACGGTAATTGTTTGGCGGCAGGCGGTAGTGCGTTTTTCGGCGGTAACGACTTTGGCGAAGGCGGTAAAACAAAAAAACGGCGGTAATTTTTCGGCGGTAACGCCATCCGGCGGTAATCGTTTTGGCGGAAGGCGGTAACGTTTTTTTCGGCGGTAGCGACTGTGGTGGAGGCGGTAAAACCAAAAAACGGCGGTGATGTTCCGGCGGTAACGCCATACGGCTGTAGTTGTTCTGGCGGAAGGCGGTAACGCATTTTTCGGCGGTAGCTACTTTAGCGGAGCGATAAAACCAAAAAACGGCGGTAAATCGGCCGATTACCGGGACCGCCCAACCACGGCGGTATTCACGGCGGTAATGAGGGCCATTGCCATATACATCTAGCCACAACTTCAAGCGACACCAAACAAAGCCGCAAGTGCGGTGCCGAGTTGCGGCGTCCGAACAGATGGCAAACCTCCTTTCTGAAGATTGACCATGTACTTTCATGGATTGTTTTGTCGTATTCACCAGTGGCTTTCACACTTTAGATTCAGCACGACAAAAACAAAACAAAAACATGGAACGGAAAAACGGAAAAACGAACCCGAACCAAACTCCAGAACCAATAAACAGATAAAATAAAATCTTTGAAAAATGAAAAACATGTTCAGAAAAAAAACAAGTATCCACGTGCGGATTCGAACTCCTGACGCTCAGTGATTGAGCATGGGGGTAACGCACCTATATGACGGTAATTTTCGGCGGTAACGCCACACGGCGGTAGTTGTTTTGGCGGTAGGCGATGACGCATTTTTTGGCGGTAACGACTTTGGCGGAGGCGGTAACACAAAAAAAGGCGGTAAAACGGCGGATTACCGGGATCGCTCACCACGGCGGTAATTTCACGGCAGTAAACCCTTGTTTTTTTTTACCTCTTCGAGGCTCTTCGAGGCTCTTCGAGGGGGGCTCAGCTCCCTTTGGTTCCTATCCATTGTAAATATTTTTCCGTACTGCAGCCCGGACTCCAGGGACCACGGTTTCCCCCATCAACGAAATTGTCGCTATTTGCCGCACCCACGAGCTTTATGCACAGTTGTACCCTCCCCCGTTCTACCACACAGCGGTACCACTACCCAACTTTAATAGCGCATCACGGTGAAAGCTCCCCCCCACGCAACACGATAAACCAGTCCATCCGCCACCCCTTACGTTCATGCTTTTCCTGTCATAATTGCGGGGGTATTGTCACGCTGGACAGGTAGGATCGGCAGTCCTCCTGCTCAGTCGTTTTGTCGGTCTCCAATGGAACACCGACGAGGTCGTTGGCCTGGTGGAAGATAAAACCGCATTGGCAAGCGAAGCTGTGGACCGACTCGCTGACAACGTCGGCACCCTTCAGCAGCGGTTGACAATAGCGGAGGAAACCAAACTCGGGGGTACGAGAAGCAAGGCAGCAACCAGCATTGACGAGGCGTCTGTACCAGACGCTGCTGCAACGATGGTTGAGCAGGAATCCTGTTTCACGGAGTTCGGCGCTGGCTGCAACAGTAGCACCCCACGATGTGCCGCGGATGAAAGCACGCCATCGCCATCATCTTCGTCGCCGTTATCGTCGTCGTCGTGGTTGCCATCGTTGCCTCGAGATATGGACATGGGGGGTAGCGCCAGCGGTCGGGTTGTGTCAGCCCCAGGCCGCCGTGAGGATGCTGAGGATGCTGAGGATGCTGAAAGTGCAGCGGGCAGCGGCGACAAGGGGAAGCGAACAGATGGCCAGCTTCTTCTGGACGCGGCTGGTGAGGGTTACGGTGCGTCGTTGACATTGTCCCGGACAAATCACATAGATGAGAATGGGCAACAGCCGTCCGCAAGCAAACTCCCGCCGCTGAGAACTTCACGGTCTAGTTCAGTTGCCATCGACGATGGCGATGGTACTGGCATGGCAACAGCACCACTACTACCGAAGGAAAGACAAGGGGGTCTGAGTAGGTGCGGGGAGCTTGCTGCTGCTCCCAGCAATACCAATTGCAGTCGGGAGGAGATTGAGTCAGAAGATGCAACCGCCAATTGCAAGGGGTTCGCGAACCCACCCGTCGGCGCCGTAGAAGACCGAGCAGAAACAGCAGCATCCCCTCGACAGAGTACAACGCCTTCTCTGCAAAGGCTGACAGTTGCTGCTGAAGCGGCTGATGGTGCTGCCGTTGCGACGAACGAGGCGAATGGTTCGGCGGGTCAGATGGATGCCGAGGATGCGCTGATGCGCGGCGGTAGAAGAAAGCAAAACAACGGGGTCAATGAGGTTGTGGAAAGGAATATTAACCCAGAGTCGAGTCAACGAACACCAGTACAACCATCTCATGTACGTGCCAGCTCCGAAATAGCGGTTGGGATAGCCGGAGATGCTGTTTCTACTACGTCAAGGAAAGGGACTCTCGTACCGATTCGGGACAGCAACGGGGATGAGAATGAGCAGGGAAGCGGTGAGGATAATAATGAGACGCCAACAGCGTCCGAGCGAGGAGGTGCACAGACAAACATTGCCACACCATCTGCACTCCTTCGAACGCGCAAAAGGAGCGCTTCTTCGGGAAGGTTACTCGATCCTTGGGTGTCGACAGGGGAGACTTCAGCTTTGGTAGGGGAAAATGGGAAAACAACGAGAGAGCTCAAAGGCAAGGACGAAGAGCAAGGTAGAATGGGAGACGACGATGGGGAACAGCGTCAATCCAACCTCGCCGCCGGCGCAAATGGCAACGCAGAGACAACAGCTCCCATTGACACACAAGGTGGCCCTACTCTTCTTCCAAAAGAGTTCCGAGGACTAGCAGGCGAAACCATTGGCGGGACGACACCAGGTGGCCGATCTAGTCTTCTAGGCCCGGTACAACCTCGGCCAGCACAAGCTAGAGCGGACAACGCCATGGACACTTCAGAGACCGGAGGCAAGTCTAACATACCTCACAACAGTGCGCAGCAAGCGAGTACAAGTAGTTTTCTCTCGGAGGAGGCGCGTCAAAGCCAGAGTATTAAATCCAACGAGGGTGGGGGCAAGGAGCGATCGACACCACCAGTGACAGAGAGGGCAGAGGTGACGACTGTGGAAGGGCTTACCGACAACAACAGTAGTGGGGGCGAGCGGGAGGACAGCAGTCAGACATCGAGTGGTAGCAGCTTCACTGGTACGACTAGTGACTCTCGGGGATCTTCTTTTTCCGAACAACAGAGCACGACAACGTCCACTGCCACTAGTACTTATAGCAGGGCAGCTAATGGTGGCAGCAGCGACAGCGGGAGGAGGAGGGGGAGGTGGCGGGCAAGTTCAGCGTCGAGAAGGGACCACATCGAAGAAGTCGCTGTTACGGGAGGTGGCGGCAATCCTGGGTCGACGGAGGTTGACAGTGGGCTGTCCAGTTTTACCCTTGACCGACCAAGAGAAATATCTGAAAAGGGAGGGGAAGCAGCAGACGGTGATACAGTTAGTGGTGGTGGTGGTGAAGGTGGAGGGGCAGTGATAACCCCTCGTTCGAAGAGTGGTCATCGACAACAATGACAGGCCAGTCAATCGGGCGAGGCGCAGTCCTTGGCTGTTATGACAACACCACATCTGGGGAAAACCCGGCTGCCGGCGCGGATTATGTTCGAAGATAGCCTGACTTCCTGCATTCTCGAAGCTTCTGTCGTGCTTAGGAGGGTTTGGGTCCATACCCGGAAGCAAAACGCTGACTCCAAGTGTTACCGCTGCTCCTCTGCTGCGGTCGGAACTCAACATTGGTTGGATGGGGATGCTTCGTGTTGTTTTTGAATGTTGGACGCCCTTCATGTGGCACCGTCTAGCTTGAGGTACCCCTCAGCCCACAGTGGATGTGTTTCATGACGCGAGACAAAGAGTTGACAGCCATTTGCAGAACAAACTGAATGATTTACACGGAAAGAGGGACAGCTGCATGTAGCTGATGTAGCTGTTATCGCTGGGTGGTGTGCTGAAGAGCGGGTGAAACCACCCCTTGTAGTTTCTAGGCTACCGTAATAGTCGGAGAGTTGGCACCGGCCGGAGAGATGGCCCCGGGGTGCGAGAAAAAGAACGAGAAAAACAAAAGTTCATTTAATTCGATTGACGCACCAGGATCGGTGTGATCGCACCCGGTGTGATCTCTCCGACCCCCAAATCCAAGATTGATTGAGCTCCTATTCAGCTCCCGGTATGAGGTACATGTGCGTACCTACACGTGGGAGCGGTGTCAGCGGAGCGCTACTCCTTTAAGTACGATTGAATGGTCGCGGTTCACGCGGGATGACAGCTGTTTATATTTTTTATTGGTATGGAAGTTGCCAACCGTATGCTACACTCAACCAGATACACGATGTACAAGCCGCACCCTACCCCACCTTACACAACACGAAATTACTGTACTGCTGCGTACGTACTTGGTATCCGTAGAAGAAGACCGAAAGGAAAGCGAGTAACAAACAATTGATATCGTGTGTACTTATACCACCTCAGATGGAAACGACATCGTTTGTTGTTGTCAAGCCATAGCCAAACTCGCATCAAACATAAGACCACTCGCTGCATGGAACGCTGCACGTACCAGCCTACGTACCGTTACCGGTGTGCTTCCAACCAGCAACATCGGTACCTACACGTACGTGTGGTTCTTTACCGATCAATAGCATTGTCAAATAGCATGTGAAGAAGACAGTGTGTGTGGGTTTCCTACACTGGTATCAATACTATCGTACCGGTCGGGGAGAGGGTGTTCGTGTGTCTGGATACGAGCATGGCAGTGTTATTTGGTTTATATTTTTTTTTTTTTTATTGGTCCTTGCTCCGTCAGTACGAGACGCCC